ACCTTATTCTGGCGCATTTATACTAGATCATACGTTGATAATCAGGAACATGGAAATTTCTGTGCAGAAGAGTGTACAGTATTATTATAATCTTGATCGAATATTTTTCTATTTCAAATTAAAGATTTACAAAAATTAAAATTTTTTTTTTTGCATCTTTTAACATTCCACGAGTATTTAAACATGCAGGCTCAATTAATGCGATGAACCATTATGCCTTCCACAATGTCAATTATTTTTTTGGTAATCAGATAGTTAAAAGTTATTTTCTTGTTAATCATCTTCTTTATTTAAATTATAATTTTTTATACATAGGGTGCAATAGCTATCTGTGTTTTATTAGAAGTCAGAATATTCTTTTCATGTATTGCAATTGACGATTTGAGATATGTTATATTGGAAGTCGAGGCTTTAAAGTTCCTTCAACTTATTCTGCTTTGGCGCTTTTAATAAGATGTAAGTTTATATAAGCGCCGCCAAGAGAAAACCTGTCATCAGGTTTTCGATTATATTTTGTATCAGACAAAATCCCTAACGAATTAGATTGTGTCCGATACAAAATATTATTGAAAGCCTGATGACAGGTTTTCCCTTGACAGCACTCACTCACATATGAAGATGCTTGGACTGCATATTAACTTTATTTTTTTTACGAAGGTTACTTGTGCCGTTGTGATATAGTTATTAGGACTTAGGATTCCATAAATACAATGTCATTTTGAGCTAAACTTTGATTTTGGTGATTTTTTTTCTTTGAAGTTTTTTTTTTTTTGTAATTTTTATTTTATTTATTACTTTTTGATTTTTATTTATTTTATTTTTATTTTTATGATCTTGATTGAGCTGTCAACAAAGGCATAAAATGGTCTTTTTGTTTAGTTGCTGTGTGGAAAATATTAAAATCGGATCGGTTATTCTGAATAATGGAATAAATTTTCATATTAATATCTTTATACCTGTTTAGTATCTACGATTTTAATTAGAAGCTTATTTATTTGGGTTCTAATATTATTGTCATGTGATAGTAATTTTCAATGGACCTCTGGGTAATTTCCGATTGGTTCGAGTATATCACGTTATAATGTCCCATGACATCTAATATTGCATGTGATTATTACTATGAGATTACTGGGACTCAGTACCAAGTCTGACTCGGGACCGAGTCGAGATTAAAACTCGACTCATGGACTCGGACCGACCGGACCGGACTTTTAACATCCCTAGTTGCTAGCCACGGTACTTATTAAGCAAGATTAGTACGTATTATTTATTATCGGGTCAATTAAAAATAGGTTTAGGTCACGTATTCACGGTACTTATTATTTGAGCAGAGTAAGAAAGAGTTGTTTTATTTATTAAACAAGCGTCCTATTTATATATTTTGATGGTTAAGGGTTCCAAACCCGGATCTGAGGTTTCAAACCCAGATCTGAGGTTTCAGACCCAGATCTGGGATTCCACACCCAGACTCAGGGTTTCAAATCCTAACCTCGGGTTTCGAACCCATACATGTGCTAATTTTATCATGTTCACATAATCTACTGCTTTTACATATAGAAAAGACGAACTATACAACAAAAAGAAAAGAAAATATATACAGTAAAGAAAATTTTGAAGAAATTTTCTGTAACATATTCCTCCTCTAAAGAGTGAGCACCGTTGAACCTGCCAATATCCTCCTGGTATCAACCTCCCTTAACCTCTTTGCTTCCGCTAACAATTCCATAAAGTCAGAGTCCAACATTTGCTCCAACACCGAAATTGAAATATGTTAGACCAGATACATACTATATTCGCTACGGGTACTGAACAACAGGTATGTATGTTTGGGAGTGCTAGTCAAATGATACATGAGAAACTCTCAGTCTTTAAAACCTTGGTGACTAGAAGATCAGACCTATATAATAGTCTAATTTGTAAATTATATGCAAAAGAAGAAGAAGATCAAGAACATTTAACTTCATGTGAGAAATACAAAATCAAGTGGATAGAAGCAGAGCAGCTAGCATCGAACTTGGCTTGGACAGCTCTCTTAGAAGAAACCCGCAATCATTTTGATAAGGCTCAACTTAAAAGCTCTCTTTGGGGTTCAACAAAAGAAGAAAAAAATAAGATGAGAGCTGACATTCTTAAAAGACTGATTAAAGACGAAATCGCAAAGAAAATTCTCGAATTAGTGGGATCTCTAAAAGAAGCCAGAAGCTACCTCGACATGGCAGTCAACTTAGTCTGGAATTACTTTTATAAAAACATCTGGAAGCAAAGATATATATTCCTTAATGATTGGGAAAAGAAAAATGAAATAAACTTGAAAAAGAAGAAAGAAAAGAGACCAAAAGTTGAAAAAGCAGCTATTAGCAGAAATAAGTCAAATGTAAATTGTAGGGAATATAGTCAAAAACAAGAGCAAACTAAGGGAAAGATAAAAAAGAAAGAAGAGATCATTAAAGAGAAGGAAGCTGACAGAAAAGAAAATACTTGTTTTGCTGAGATTAAAGACTTTATTGTAAATAGTATGAAGCTATTTTGGTATAGCTTCAATAGCTAGCTTGGTGCAGCCTTCCGATACGGGCATTAGCCTTAAACGGTGAAGCAGACCATCCTTGGGTGCCTATAGAGGTAGCCGAAGAATATCGGATCTATAGTTTAGATTGTTAAATATATGTATATATATGCTTTGATCTAATAAAAATACTGGCGAGGCTGCTAACAATTAAAAAAAAATAAAAATAAAAATAAGCTATATATAACCACGACTATATGTAAATTTTCTCTATAATTTAATGTATTAAAATAATATTATAATTATATTATAACAATATATTTCTATATTAAATTATTGCATTGTCTAATACTTTATAACTATACAAATAATAATATATAAATCATATAATTATAGGATATATCTAGATAATGCATTTTGTGCATCTAAATGATTATTAATTTTGTGTAATAATTAATTTTTCAAAACAAAAATTAATTTTTTTTAATATCAAAGTAAAGACAGTATTTAGAGGTTAGGATTTGATATTATATATAATAAAATTTTGCAAAGAATTTTTTTTATTAGAGCCCAAAAAGTGATTTTATAATCAAAATTTTGATTTATTGTACAAAATTGATCTGCATAATTGTTTTTATTACACAAAATTAATATACATATTACACTTGATCTGACAATTTTATTAGTTAATCTAAGAGATACTCAAAGTGCAGAATACATTTTCTAGTTGTATTCTAATAATAATATAAAAACTATATAATTTTATAAATTATTGTCGTAGATTAAAATAAAATCTGATCAAAATAAAACTGAGGACCTCTCATACCCATCTTTAGAGCCTATAAAACTCATATATACTCATTTATTAATAAATCTAACCCTAAACCCTACCCCTAATGCTAAAAAGAACCCCAAAAAATGTTCACCAAAAAATTTTAAATTTTCTTTAAAAAACAGAAAAATTTCGTTTTGATCAGATTTTGTTTTAATCTGTAACAATTATTGTACGGCCATGTTATTACTGCCATACCAAATTTTGATTATATTTGTATGCCTGAGCTTTAAAATTCTTATAAAGCGGGATCAATAAAATAAACAAAAAAATAATATAATTAAACTTTTACTTTTTATTAAACAGGGCTAGTAACTTCACTTTTAAAATTCTGCAGGTTAATAATTCAATCAGATCTTCACTTTTAAAATCTTACTATATCGATATGTGGCAAATAAATTAAGTAGATTTTTGGTTGTTGGATGGGGTCAGTAATTATAGCATTTTTCAAAAAGATGTAACCCATGGCTTTTACGATGATAATCAGAAAAATTTTTGAGATACAAAATTGTTTATTAATCTATATTTTTTGATCAATAAAAATTTAAAATCTAAAGAACTTTTTTGAAAAGCACAATAAATAGATTTTTGTTTAAAATTCTTATTAGATAGGGCTAGTAACTTAATTAGGTCTTTATCTTTAAAATTTTTATTGAACAAAATAGCATCAATCGGGTTTTAGCTTTTAAAATTCTTATTAGATGGGCCAGTAATTTAAGAAGGTCTTCACTTTTAAAATTCTTATTTAAGATTGTAGTATCAATTAGATTTTCTTTTTTAAAATTCTTATTAAATGATATAAATAACTGTAATCTGTTTGAATTTTTTAAATTCTTATTAAACAAGATATATAAATTAAAATCTTACATATAATTTTAAGCAAATATTAATGTATATGAAAATGAATAGCCACTGAAGAATTAATAAATGTGGCACTATGAATAAATTCATTTAGTTCTTGAACTGTTCTATTCTGCAACGAATTTATTTGTATTGATTCATTTTGTAATAAATTTGTTTGAATTGGTTTGTTAAGAGACATAGATGATTCTAAACAAAATAAAAAAATTATTACAATAAAAAATTTATTTAACAAAATAAATTAATAAATTCTAACCTTGATATAATGATCTTGCTGATGTAAAACCTGATAATTCATTTCTATATATATTTGTAGCTACAAGTGGTTCTAAAATAAATAAATAAATAAATAAATAAATAAATTAATTAATTAATTAATTAAAAAAATTTACTATTTGCTTCTTCAGAACGATAATTAATTGCCTTATTTAAAGCTTGATATCCAAGTTCTTGTATATGTTTAATTGGACGCTTATAAGATGTATTCTTTTTGTGATTTATGACGTAAAATTGGCATTGTTTCATAATCAGATAATCCAAGAGATTTTAAAAGTTGAATTAAAGTTTTACGCCCAGTTTGGTTTGTAATTTTATAATCAGAAATATCAATATCACATGATTCTACTAATCGCTTAAAAAATGCTTTCATAAAATTCTCTCCAAGATGCATTTTTTTATATCAGATATTGACAGTTTTAAAATCTAAATAAAAAATTAACTTTTTTAAATAAAAATTGTTAGATACTGATAATTAAATATAATTATTTGCTTACTATTAATTCTTTTTATAGGATGTAGATAAAATTAAGAATCAGCATTAGGAGGACATTTGGCTATATATTTATCATATGATTCAATAATATCAAAGATAGGTGGAATAGAAAATGTTTCAGCGATACCAGGGCTTTCAAGACTTCTTTATTAGTTTTTGATCGAAAAAGCTTAATTTCATAATTGCCAGAATTCATATTTTTTTTAAAAAATACACGCTCTAATAAAAATGCTCTCTACCACACAAATCAAAACAAAGTGTATTGAAAAAAAAACTCTATTTAATAATCCCTTAGGATTCAACTTTGATGTTTGAGGATGCAATAAAATTCTTTGAACTTCATCGATAGTTAAAGCATCAGACCCATTAGTTTCTCCATATCCACTTGCAGACAATGTTTTAATTTTTCCATTTAATGTTTGCCAAAGATCAGGATATGCTTTTTTATTATTTAAGTCAATCAGTTTAATTTTGCTTGTCTTATCATTAAAATACTGATTAAATGCATTAATTGCAGATTGAAGGGATGTTACAGAATATTCATCACCATTAGCCTTGTGACATACAGTAAAGTATTTACAAAGTTCTTCTTCAAGTTGCTTTGAATCTGAAATATCAGATAATTTACCAGGAAGATTAGTATCTTTATGATATTTTTCAAACTGATTAATCCAATTTAAAGTAGATTTATATATATTTTCTACAACAGATTTTCTCTGTAATGCTATAACTTCTTCCGGTGTGGGCTCCACATATGTAAATCATTTCTAAAAAAGTTCAATAAATATATAAATAGCGATAATAAATAAACAACTACAAATAAATATGCAGATAAACCTTTTGCTTGTCTACTTTAGGCATTGTAGTCCTTAAAAAAAAATTAGGGATTGTTTTAAGGTATGTTGATTTTGCAAAAGAAGTTTCTTTTGCAAAAGAGAAAGAAAGAGACAATGAAAGCATAAAAAAATTCTTATACATATTATGTAGTAAATCGGCTAACTTTTAAATGTGTACCTATTTTTTTTAAAAGATCAATTAATTATAGCAGTAACAACTGCAGGACAATAATAATGTTATTGTATAAGGATAAAAAAATTGACATGATGGTATGGATGTAAATTAGTAATCAGATCACTGATCTACATCCATACCATTGTACTAATATTTTTTTACCTACTATACAATAACTTATAATTATTTTTTATACTCACCGGATTTATTATTCATACCCCTATACAGCAAATTTCTGATGTTTACGTAATTACATGAAATAATTGTCAGTTATCTAAAATATGATTAAGTAATAATGTTATACAACATTGCTTAGTTAGATATTAAATGATCATCTATTTTTAAAGTACAATATATCGATATTTATTCTCAAAAGTACTTTATTCTAAAAGTATAGTATAGTGATATTTATTTAATGACTCTATTAAATCCAACAGATTAGTTGTAGTAGCTAATTGTATTATAACCACCTATAACTAAAAACCTTATTGTAAATTTATATAAGCACTGTGAACTTAAATAAATTAACTATCTTATTGCTAATAAAAGTGTATACAGTAGTAATGAAAATGTTTTGTTTTGCTTGCTTTATATTTATGTACTCAAGAAAGAAAAATTAATAAAGATCAAGAGTTATAAACTCAAATTTTATTTAACTTTAAATCCAATATATGATGCAAATTAATTTTTACTTTTGAAATTTTGCATTTATATCAAACTAAACTAACTGTTTTTTTATACTAAGTTATTTTTATTTATACAAGTGTGAGCATTGTGCCCAGGTTATCAGCAAAGGATACAATGTCTTACTTTATTATCTGTCAATTCAAAACCAGAAGAGTCTCTTTTAGTAGAATTAACTTGTTACTTATTAAGAGCTCCAGAAAGACATTCTTTGGTACAAACTATATTTGAATTTTGTAAGGTCATTACTGGTTCATCTATTATGTTTTTTAATATGTCTTGTGTTGCTAATTGCTGAAACTCTGGCCATTCTTGATACTTTTGTTGTAGGTCTTGCAAAAGCAGTTGTAGTGAATCTTTGTGATGAGAACTATCTTCATCAATTCGTAGTACCAGTAAGTTTCCTGGAATCTACCAAAGCTTATGGATGTCATTAAGCATTAGGCTTTGATTCTCTAAATCTTGAATAAAACGGACATACAGTAACCCTATTGTTTTTGAGAAGAACCTGGTGCATAGTGGTAAGAGCTCTTGTACAATAGCATGTTTTGCTTTTTGATACTGCTCATTTATCTTTTTGAGTATAAAGAAAGATACTTTATCTCTAATATTTACATAAAAAGAATTGTTAATAGCAAAAACTGAGATATGAATGTATTCAGATGCAATCATAGCATCAAGCTCTTTTCTTTAGTTGGTTATTGCTAATGATATTTTTATATAAACACATTGAAGGTCTCTCATAGAAGTCTGCAAATATGATTTTAGAGTTGTATGTGAACCTTCAATGTGTGAAGTTGTAGTTGTTCCTAAGTGTAATATTACAAATAGAAAGTTAAAAAAATCGATTAGTTGATTAGTTAACTAATTGATTGAACTTTCTAGACACAACTAATTGATTATTTGATTAGTTGTAACTAATTTATTAAAAAATTAATTTTCAATTGAATGAAAAATTAACTATTTTATTGTTTAGTTGCAACTAATTGATTAATCGATTAGTTGCAACTAGTTATCATTTGAAACTATCTAGATGAAAAAATGCATTTGTCCAAGCATTTATGAATCTTTCTTTTCACAGTATCTAGATTTCCTGAATATAAGATATTACATTGGGTTTGTTAATATAGATAGTATAGAAATTTATCCATTTTTCATCAAATTCGTCTTCTGTATTTGATTGAATAATATCATTTCATTTTGTGAGAAAATCTTGTCATTCATCTTCTGTTTCTTTCGAAAAATGTGGCTTGCAATTTTTTAAAACATTCTTACTAATGTGCTATACACAAAGTAAATTTGTTGAATTAGAAAAGGTCACTCTGAGAGCGTTTATAAAAGCCAACTCTCTATCAGTTACAATGACGCTGAGCTTCTCTATTCTGTCAAACAATCTTAAAATATGCGTTAGGGCCCAATTGTAATCTGTTTCTTCTTCACTTTTCATAAACATGAAGCAAGTATAAAAAGTTATATTAAAACTGGTTATATCTACAATACTTAATAATGGCATTTTAAATTTGTTTGTTTTGTAAATACAATTAATAAGAATTACTATAGGGTATTGACGAATAAGAGAAGTTGATTCTTTATATGCAAAAAACAAGTGGGTAACAGAACCGGTATTATCACATTTGTACTTATATAAAAAATCACTCTCTTGAAGCTCATCTACTAATGCCTGGATGGAAATTCGACCAGCCAAATTTTGTTGTTGAAGTTTTGCACACACATTATAGATATTACTATTAATGACTAGTGCTGATAAATCATTTTGTCTAATTGTTGATACAATTTTACAGGAACTTGAACTGCAATAGTCATTGATACAATATTTTCTATCTGTTGCTTTGTAAGTTGATGAGCAATGGGATGCTCTAATATGTTGTCTGAAGGATTATGATTATATATAGCATTACAAAACTTCAAATGCTATGAGCCACTATGTTAGGTAGTATACAATTTAAAAGAACAGTCCATTAACTAGAAATTGGAACTGCCTAAAAATTTTTTTAATTGTTTAATTGTTTAATTGTTTAACTGTTTAATTTGGCCAGCATTAAGATAATTTAGTCTACGACTAACATAATCCTACCCGGAATTATGGAGCAATTTTTAAATGGTTAACCAGTTTCAATCTCTATCATTAACCTAGTGCTTTTTTGTCTACTATTTGTTTTTTTAGATAACCTAAGAGAGTTACTATAAACACTACCTGGTCACAATATAATATCATATTTTTCAATTCACTACACTCATCTTTCTAAGTTCTTTTTTTAACCAATGTATAGCCTTGAGAATTTGCAAATTTTTGTACACTCTGAAAAAGTTCATCAGCACTGTTGTATACTTCAGAAGGAGGAGGAAGCATAATTTATTAACAAGAAAAAAAAATTAATTGATTATACAAAAGGTTTGTTAGCACGATTATTTTATTAATTTATGTAATGCTTGATATAGAAACATTTAGATAGAGATAGAAGAAAGAGCACAAAAAATAAAGAATTGCAAAAAAAAATATATATATTTAAAAGAAAAAAACACAAAAAATGAAAATTACAAAAAAAAAAACACTAAAGAGAAAAAGCACAAAGAACAAAAATTACAAAAAACAAAAATGAAATATCACAATAGTAAATTAATATTCAAGATGTTTACGATTTATTATAGCTTTTAGGATAAATGTTTAAAGGCAAGGGTATTATCAAATTATTTCTAATCTGATTATTTTTAACTCTTCTCCTTTTTATATTTTAGATTTATAAAAGTTTTTTTACTACTTTTCTCGATCTAGTATGTTGGAGCTTCAAGATTTCATAATGAAATTTTTTTTATTTTACTTTCCTTTTTTATTTTAAAGCTTTTGAGTATTGCAGATTGAAAACCTGTCTATAATTTTACTTAAGGATCAATTACAGGTTTTCACTCTACAATGCTTATTTATTCTTTAATTTCATAATCATATTTTTTTTTTATACAAATTTTCATGATCCATTCTAGCGTCCTGCTCTACACTCTTTTAGAACATATTATATCTCTTCTCTTTACAATTTTACTCTAAAAGAGTATAGAGTATGGCTTAGAATGTATTATAGTAAGTTGTGAAAGTGATCAATAAATCTAATATTTGATTCAAAAACTTATCGACTACTTTCTGTATATTGCCACAATCTGTTCATAGCCACCCCTACAACTTTTAAGAATTTATTGCATTTCATATTCTTTATCTTAAATCTGCATTAACGCTGCTACAATGTTGTGTTTTTTTTTACTAACTGAAATTAATTAATCTATTGATTTTAGCACACCCATTTGGATTTATTGTATCACTTTTTTCATATTAATTTGTATTACTATTAAAATTAATTTTATCATATTTTATTTAAGCCATAATCTACACTATTTTGGGACCTCAGAATTTATCTATTCTTTATTTGATTAGCACTTCTGAGTTTGTATATGATCATTATATTAGAAGATTGAAAGTTTGCGATGGAGTTACATCAGAAGTTAGTATTATCAAGATTCTCAACCAAGCAATTTATTAGATCATTAAGCAGTTAAAAAGACAACTAATTGATTAACTCTTTTTGAACTAATAGCTGAGTATATTGGCTGACTTCTTATATAATTGAAAATAATATAATGGTACAAAATCTCTTAAAAAATTGTATACATTTTTTTGGTAATCAAAATACATATTCGATATCACCAAGTTTATTACAAGAGGTTTCTGAAGAAGATAACTTTGCACTTTGACAAAATGCATTTGTCAGTAATTTTGTATTATTAATGTCAATTCTATATATATTAAGTTTTAATGAGGTTATACTAGCATTTATACAAAGAACATCTGATAGCTTTATTATTTCTTAAAACTAGCTTAAATAGTGTATTTTTATTAAAAATTTCTACTAATATTTTTGTAAGTTTAGTTTTATTGTCGATTCTATTTAAATGTAATATCTGCAAAACATCAGTTATTTTAAAATAACCATATTTCATAAATATTATGAAATTTTATTTTTTTGATATTATTCATGTATAATGAATTAGATATCTTCGGTGAATTAAATGATCATATGGTTTGTATTATAATATTGTCTAATTAAATTTCAGATACTGATCATCATCTCACATGATCATATGAATATCAGAAATTTATG